AGATACCCAGAAGGGGGATGGCTGAGTCATATGGAATTTCAAAGTTTAGATCTTTAAGCAATTTCTATACTGATTTCTATACTATTTGTAATAGTTTACAGAGTCTACCAAAAATGTAAGAGTGTTCCTTTTTCACCACAGCCATACCAACATTTGCTTTGTGATTTCTTGATGATTGCCATTCTTTCTGATCTAAGATGGAACTTAGTATTGTTTTAATATGCATTTCACAATGACTAACGGTATTGAACATTTTTTCATGTTTGTTGGCCATTTGGATTTCTTCCTCTGAGAAATGTCACTTTCAATTGTGCATTTCCTGATTGGTTATTTTTTAAGGTGATCTGATTATTTTGAATTCTTTATATATTGTAGATATTAGTCCTCTTTCTGAGGAATGGCTTGCAAACTTTTTTCCCCTGTTGCATTTGTCTTTTGTCCATACTTAATAATTCCTGTGCTGTGCTTAAGGTTTTTAATTTGATGTAATACCATTTATTGATTCTTGCTATTATTTCTTGTTCAATTTGAGTTCTGTTAAAAAAACTTTTCCTACATCTATGTCTTCCAGGGTTTTATTTATTTTATCTTCCCATTGGTTTAATGTTTTGGCTTTAATGTTTAGATATTTGATCCATTTTGAGTTTGAATTGCTACATAGTGAGTGATACAACTTCAGTTTCAATCTTTTGCAAACAGATAACCAGTTTCCTAGCAGCACTTGTTGAATAGACTGTCTCTTCCAACATATGCCTTTGGTCCCTTTGTCAAAGATCAAGTAGTTGACCATGTCTGGGGTTGTTTCTTTTTTCCCCATTCTGTTCCACTGATCCATGTGACTGTTTTTGTTACAGTATTATGCTACTTTTATCACTACTGCTTTGTAGTGTAGCTTAAAGTTAGGTATATTGATGCCTCCTGCTTTGCTCTTGTTGCTCATGATCCCTTTTGCTATTCTTTTTTGGTACTGGGGATCGAACACAGGTCCTTGTGCTTGCACAGCAGCAGGCAGTGAAACCACTGAGCTAAATCCCCAGCCCTCCATTTGCTATTCTCAATTTCTTCTAGATCTGTATGAATTTCAAGATTATTTTCTCTAGATCTGTAAAGTACTGTATGTTCTTGATGTTTTGGCTGGGACTGGTTGATTCTGTATAACATTTTGCAAGAGTATGGCCATTTTTTTATTTTGGAATTTTTGAGACACAATCTTGCTACACAGCCCAGTCTGGCCTTGAACTCAGTATTTACAACAGACTGGGCTGAAACACACAGAGCTCCACCTGACTTAGCCTCCTGAGTGCTGGGATTATGAGCATGTGCCACCATGCTTCTCAGGTATATGATCATTTTCACAGTATTGGTTCTGCCTATGCAGAAGGAGGGCACATGTTTCTATTTTCTGATGTCCTTTAAAATCTCTTTTGACAGAGTACTGTAGTTTTCTTTGAGGAGATTTTTCACTTCCTTGGCTAGGATAATTTCTACAGTAGGTATTTGATTTTTCTTGATGCTCTTGTGACTGGTTTTGTTTTCATAGTATCCTTTTCA